GAAAAAAAAAAAAAAAAAAAAAAAAAAAAACCTGATAAATGGAAGGCAGGTCAGATAAAAGTACTGTATCAACATCACATTGTCTAAAAAATAGTAACCACTGTGTGGTTATACAGGAAAATGTCCTTGTTCATAGGAAACACACATTCAAGTATTTAGGGGTAAAGGGGCATTCAACTTACTCTCAAATGGTTCAGGAAAAAGAAATACACACAGATGCACAAAGAAAGAGGAAGAGAACATGCAAAGTATAAAACAAATGGGCAAAACGTTAATAATACATGAATCTGGATAATGGGTATACAGAAATTCTTTGGGCTATTTTTCAATTTCTCTGTATGCTGAAAATTATTTTAAATTTGGGGGAAAAGTAGCAGTAAAGAGTAGAACTTACCTCAATATTTTCTTCCCCAAATTTCTCCACGGCTTTCTCTTCAGAAAGACCACAAGCACCATATTCCAAAGGAGTGAAAACGGTCGTTGGAACATTTTCATAGTCACACTGTTTCAAAATGGAGGAAAAGAGTTACGACAGAAGGAATTATAACTCAAAAGAGCATATACTTCAAAAAGGTTCAAATTTAGGAGAGGAAAGCAGACTAATAAAAACCTACTATGCTGAGAACCATTAACTGATATGATAAAATTTCAGCAGCGGTTTAAAGTCTGTTAATACTAGTCATGAATAAACGATTTGCGTGGCCTCTCCACCCATCTACCAACAGATATTACAAGGACATCCTTTCTCTCCCTTAAATAAAGCAGCCAAAAACAACACCAGTGCACCCAATGCTTAAAGTCTCCTATTATTAGTGGCAGAAGTTAACAGACTTTATTGGAAAATCAATCAGGCAATACAAATCAAGAGCCATAAGAACATTTAATAATTTTTGGCCCAATAACACCACTTTTAGAAATCTATAATAATAATTTAATATATAGCAAAAGCCACATGCATTAATTGAGCAATGCCGCAGTTCTCATCAACAGTGGCAATACTGGAGTGGCTTCAAAGTGCAAATAAGGAAGTGACTCTGTAGTACATATTTCCAGTGCAATCTTATGCAGCCATTAAAATGGTAATGAAGACCACAGCAACAAAGAAGTTCATGATTATGACAGTATTTCCAAAGCACATTTTAATAGGCGTAGGTGACGGGAGGGCTCTGAAGTCAAACACGTTTGTAAAATGCTGTATTAAGCAAATAAACAGCTTTCTCAACTATCAGATTCCTCAGAGCCTTTGATATGCTGATGTGAATTGTGAAAAATGTAATTATGTAAGTGCCAAATATGTTTGCCAATACTATTTGGTAAAAACCTACCCAGTCACATTTGGACATAGAGGTAAAGCCTAAATTTAAGGTGAGCGCCTAAAATATGAAAAATACAATTCTCCCTCTCTAACAACGTAGGGTGAGATTTTAAAAATGTGCCTCCCTCTAGAAATAGCATATATAGTCTTTTTTCTCTAAAAAGAGCACAAATCCTTGGAATTCCGATTCAAAAGTAAAGGCAGACATCCACTTACAGCCATATGGACCAGGTTTACTTCCTGTTTTAAACAACTAAAAAACAGGACAAGTATGAAATACTTTTTAAGACACTGATGGTAGGGTGTGCAGCACTGTGGTCCCTGTGAGAAGGGAAACAAGTGAGGTGAGACCAGCGATTGCTCTAGTCTCCTGCCCAGAGCAGTTTCCAGGCCTTGGTGCAAAGAGAGGGAACAGAGTGCAGGGTCTTCCTGAGTTATGGAGACAGAGATCCCAGTTCAGGGAAGCCTATGTGGCCCGAAGCTGCAGGGCAGAACACCAAAGTGGATAGAGCTGCATAAAGAGAACTTAAGATCTGCAGAGAGGGCCTCCTGAGATTTGGGCTGAGGACTGATCTGTAAATGGATGCCAGAAGAAAGCACTCAAGGGTGAGGAAAGAACCACTGGAAATCAGTGAGCCCCCAAATGACCAGAGCTCTTACAGGATGGGAATCAGTTTCTGTTCCCACAGGCCAGAGTAGAGAAAGAGTTCGTAGTAAGAGGAACGGGGCAGAGTCCTTGGAAGGGCAACAATCGAGTAGCGGAACTAAATTGTGCCTAAATGAAAGGCTGCTGTTGACAAACCTTAAAAAAGCTGAAAAGCAAGCTACACAAGGATAAAATTAATCCCCTGTAATATATCGGGCCACCAGAACAAAGTCCAACACTATATAAAGGAATTCAACAAAACCCAGCCCCCAACAGTGTAAAATGCACAAAGTCTGCATCCATCCAAAGTAACACGACATTCAAATGAGCAAGAACACACAAACTAATACCAAGAGGAAAATCAATCAACAGAAACAGACATTGCAAAAGAGATAAGGGGATTAGCAGAGGGCATTAAAAGAGCTATTATAAGGACTTCCCTGGTGGCGTGGTGGTTGGGAGTCTGCCTGCCAATTCAGGGGACACGGGTTTGATCCCTGGTCTGGGAGGATCCCACATGCCATGGAGCAGCTGAGCCTGTGCGCCACAGCTACTGAGCCTGCACTCTAGAGTCCGCGAGCCGGAATTACTGAAGCCCGTAATTACTGAAGCCCGTGAGCTCCGCAACAAGAGAAGCCACCGCAATGAGATGCCCGCGCACCGCAACGAAGAGTAGCCCCTGCTCGCTGCACTAGAGGGAGCCTGCGCACAGCGGCGGGGACCCAACACAGACAAAGATTAAATAAATAATTTTTTTTTTTTTTTTTTTTTTCGGTACTCAGGCCTCTCACTGTTGTGGCCTCTCCCGTTGCAGAGCAACAGGCTCCGGACGCGCAGGCTCAGCGGCCATGGCTCACGG